GAAGTCCTTGACAACTTCAATCTTTTCTCCATTGATAAGAATGTTGTTTATTGGTCCAGTGGTGAGGATTTTTGTTTTCCTGACATTGAGATGCAGCCCTTACCGAAGGCTGTGCTCTTTGATCTTCATCAGTAAATGTTTCAAGTCCCCTACGCTTTCAGCAAGCAAGGTTGTGTCATCTGCAAATCGCAGGTTTCTTGGCTATAGTCTTTATAAAAATGGTTTGTCAGGCCTTTTTTCCACAGTGCTACTACAGAGAGGGTTTAAACAACCAACATTTCGGTTAGCAGCAAACCACAGGCCATTTGCACTACTCAGGGATCGTATAGAGTTATGGTTGTTGTTGTTATTGTTAAGTGCCGTTGAGTCGGTTCCAACCCATAGTGACCCTGTACAGGGTTTCCGAGGCTGTAAATCTTTATGGGAGCAGAAAACCTCATCTTTCTCCCGCGGAGCGGCTGGTAGTTTCGAACTGCTGACCTTAAGGTTCGTATCCCGATTCGTAACCACTATGCTATCAGAGTTATGATAAGAGACACTAAAAAGCCCAGTACAGTGGAGGGCCACCAGAGAGCAAAAGGATCAAAACCTAGTCAGAGCAGCCACATCAGACTGGCAAACACTGCTGTGTGTGATGATATCATGGACTTTAAATCAGGTGCGCCCCTTTGGTGGTTATAAGGCCTTGTGTAAGCAACAGGTCATCTTTGAGTCATCCATTCTTTAAAACCTGTAAAATGGAAACAGAAATACACTTTAGGGCTACTTCATTACACGTGTATATGTGTCAAACTACTATATGTTTGACATTACTTTAGGTACCGGGAATACAGTGATAAACAGTTGAATAATTCCTGCTCTCATGGAGTGTGTAGTCTGTTGAGAGACAGAACATCAAACGTATGAGTGTACCAAGGGCTGGGCAGGGACTTTAGAGAGGAGTATGGAGAGAGTTACCTAGTGCTGCTATAATGAATACCCCAAATGAGAGGCTTTAGTAAACTGTTGTCTCACCGTCTAGGAGGCTAGATGTCCAAATACAAAGTGTGTGCTGTAGGGGAATGCCCTCTCTGTTGGCTCTGGGTTCAGGTCCTTGTTTCCTTTCATCAGGTTTTATCCTTTTTTGTGTTTGTTCTTAGTATTGAGAGATTTATCGTCTAACTCACAAGTTCTGGCTTCTATCTCTTCAACTCTATTCCTTTGCCCTTTCAGTGTATTGTCCATTTCTGATATTCTATTATTAATTGTCTGGACCTCTTTCTGTAGGGTTTGAATTGTTTCCAAAGCTGTATCTGTCTTATTTGATTGTACCTGTAGCGCTTTCCTGATTTCTTCTTTATTTTTCTCAACTCCATTGTATAGTGTTTTTATACATTTTACAGTCATTTTCCTGAATTCCTTCTCTGGCATTTCCAAAGCCTGCCCTTCTTCCAGTATGGAGTGTAGGTCTACTTCCAGCTCATTTGCCTCAGTCACTTTTTCTCATTTCTGGACATGTGTAGATATTGTCATCTGCTCCTGGTTTTTTGGGCATATTCAGGGGTTACCTTTGGCCCTGATATTTAGATGGGTATGTATTTTGGTATTTTTGTTGTTAAGTGCCGTCGAGTCGGTTTCGACCCATAGCGACCCTGTACAGGGTTTCCGAGGGTGTAAATCTTTA